TCTCTCTCTCTTCTCGCATCTCTCTCGTCCTCTCTCCTCTCTCCCCCCCCCACCCTCTCTCTCTCTCTCGTCTCTCGCTCTCATCTCCTCGGGCTCTCGCTCTTTTCCTCCTCCCTCGCTCTCCGCTCTTTCTCTCGCTCTATCTCTCTATCCTTTCTCCTCCTCTCACCTCTATTCCCTCTCCTCTTCCTCCTCCTCCTCCTCCTCTCTCTCCTCTCTCGTCTCTCATCTCTCTCTCTTCTCGCTCTCTCTCTCGCTCGTTTCTCGTCTCTCTCTCTCGTTCTCTCATCTCTCTCTTCTTCTCTGCTCTCTCATCTCTATCTCTCTATCTCTCTAATCTCCCTCGCTTATCGCTCTCATATTATTATAGAGATCAGTGATACAGCCTGCTGATGGTGCTGGTGGTTGCGTGCTACGCCCTACTCCCTAACCCTAACCCTAATTTAATTTAATTTAATTAAAACAAAAATAATGTAATAAAAAATTGTAAATAAATCATGTAAATATTTGCGTTAATTGGAAAAAAATAGTTAAATGGATAAAGATAGAAAAATAGAAAAATAAAAAAAATATACAGATGGGATTCGAACCAACGACCTAAAGAAGTAACGGCAGTCGACGTACGCGTTAGGCTATTCAGTTTCATTGTAATAATGTATTATGGATGTGCCATGCATACATGGATGTGTGTGCGCGATTGGGCTATGGTGGTGGATAGCCACTGACGTCACGCTGGTCAACAGGCAGACAGACAATGGGAAAACCCATTCGACTCTTCCCGTCATGCCTAGAAAACAGTGCGCTATTCTGTGAATGGTCCAAGGGTTCCCGATTGGCAGACAGACAGACAAGAGTCTCCCCCACATGCACGCGAACCCTAGTAGCATATATTGCACTCATATTATTATTATGCACCTGTTGTTTATTGGGTTTATCCCTGAAGGCACTTGCTACTGTAGTCGCTGGGTAATTCTGCTGCCAGACAACTGTGCGCGGTAGCTTGCGTGCTATGTGCGCCGTGTAATTGCGTGACTAAACTTCCGAATGCGATAACAAAAATGAGAGTAGACTGATGTAGATTACAAACTGCCGTTTCACCGTATATTATATACTCACTAAAACACGTACAAATCACACAGGCTAAACTAAAGATTGCGCACTACACACTAAAACTAGCTACAGACGAGGGTGAGGACGAGAGCCCCGTTTCTTCCGCGCGAGCTCTCTTATACCTCCCTTCGTAAACTGAGCCGTGATATCGTATCATTATGAACACGCAGCACGGATTATTTCTGGTTTCGGAGTGTGATGCGCACAGCACCGAGTATAACCAGAATCCATGTAAATCATTAAACCATCATTAACACACAGCACGGATTATTGCTGGTTTCGGAGTGTGATGCGCACAGCACCGAGTATAACCAGAATCCATGTAAATCATTAAACCATCATTACAGTACCGATGTGGACCTGACAACCTTTGTCACTTCCACACATTATACATCATACATCATACACATCATACAGCCACCAAAAAACGCAAAACTGATTTAATATTTTCGATTAAATGTCTTAGGCCTATATCAAACTCTAATTGAAGAATGTGTTTATCAGTCTGACAATATGGTGTAAACGTACCGTTACGACAAATTCAAAAATAGCGTGCTACACTACATTGCCACTATATCCAGTGCAGTGGACACCGACAAGTATGAGAACATAACATAACAATAATAATGTACGTGTATTATATAGATGTCTAGGATGGACGTAAACCGCTTCCCCATGCTTCGTGAATACCTCTTCTCTGGAATACCTTCTAACATTGTAACCTGAATCTGTAATACAGCGTCGTTGTCGCCAAGATATACGTATAACACTAGCTATACGTTTTTGCAAATATAACCGGAATATATATATACATAGGTCAGGGGCGGCGCCAGGGTATTTTCTGAGGGGGGGCGAAACCATGCAGGGGCGTGTACAGAGCTTTCATCGAGTGTTGAACACAATCATACAAACGAAAATGAGGACAACTATCACATCCCCCAGCACTCCTGTAGACAGCTAGAGCCATATGTTTTACATACAAAAGAGGCGTCAGTTTGGTTGATATGGTATGTGTCGCAGAGCGTGATTGGTTTATGCTAGGCATGCCCCTCAACAGCCAGCAGCTACGATGGCGTAGTGGATTTACACTGGAATTCATCAACATTTGCGTACGGCAGAGATGCATAACGCCGCGTTGATGAATCGCACCTACGAGCTTGGCGTACGTACTTCGTAGAACTCTGTGTAGCCAATACACTTTGCGCAACGTTGATGAATCCGCGGCCCGCCAGGGGCCCGCGCCTTAGTGCCCCTGGTGGGGTCCAGGGGCAGAGCCCTGGGCAGGGGTCCGGCGGAAGTTCTCAGAGTTTAGCTAATCAAAGCCCTTCAAATTGCTGACAAAAAAATTGTGCAGGGAACCAGGAGCAACATATACAAGGAGATGAAACCCGCGGAGGGGGGGGGGGAAGAACTCACCCGCACATTATGGTAGGTATCTGGTATGTGCCACTGCGAAGTTAAAAATGGCGGGGGGGGGGCTCTGGAACTAACTCAGACCTGAAAATGGTGGTTTCTGGAAACTAATGTTTGTGAATTTGGTATGCTCTGGAACCGGCTATGTTCGAAAATGGGGGTCTCGCGAACTAGCTAGGATTTCGTTGAAATTCAATTGCTATGAAACTGACACGTTTAAAAGAGGGGGTCTCCGGAACTGTGAGGGGAACAGTGATTTGCTTTAAAATCTATGCTGTAGCACTTGAACCAATAATAATACTTGTATTATGTAGAGGCGAGAAAAACATGACCCGGAGAGAGATGAACGCACGCATACGCACACGCACACACACACACGCACGCATACACACACTAACTAAAACTAGACAGAGGGCACTCACGGAGAGAGCATACCTCCGCCAGCGACATACGCCATACGACTCACGAACACACGAATAACCCACGATATACGCCAGCGTATGCTCGCTCGCCGCTCAGTCAGCAGCAGCCGGCTGTGGCTGGCTCGCTCGCTGACGCGCTAAAATATCATCGCGTCACACCACACACACACACACACACACACACACACACACCACACACACCACACACACACACACACACACACACAACACACACACACACACAGCGCGCGCGCGCGCGCGCGCCGCGCGCGCTAACGTGTACACGAACGCACAGACGCAGCCGCCGATTACATAACCTCCCCTCGCACTCCGTGGGCGGAGGTAAAAATAAGATAGCATGTAGAGTATTATTAGAGGTCAGTCTGAACGTGTAATTATAATTTATAAGTTGTTAACACCCTCAAGTGTGCCTACCTTTCCGCGCCGGGAAACAGCATCATCGACAAATGATGGTCCCAACTTGGACTCCAAGGAAATAACACTTGACATCGATTATCAAATTAAGCACAGGTTTTATAGTGGATTGAATTTCGACACTTAATTTTTGATTTTTCGATGAAAGTGGTCCAGCTTGTAGGTTACATCACTCATTTTTGGGCGATCGCCCCTATTATTTGCAAGAGATCTTGCTTCTTCTTACCTTTTCTTGCAAATGATGGGGGGGGGGGGGGGGTGACCCCCACCCCACCATCCATTTGCCAAGACATTTTGCAAGATGTTTCTTTTTCTTTTCTCTTTTTCTTTTTCTTTTCTTTTTCTTTTCTTTCCTTTTTTCTTTTTTCGTTTTCTTTTTCTTTTTCCTTCTTCTTCTTTTCTTTTTCTTGGGCAAAGATAGGGGGGGCGACCGCCCCCCCCCCCCCCTGCCTCCTGTGGCGGCCGCCCCTGACAATGGTTGTTATCGGTTACTAAAACGCATTCGGTTTCTTCCGTAGCTCGCACAGACGTGCTGCAGCAGAATGCACACTCATACACGTACACGCGTACGCATATACCGCACACGGTACGCACGCGATAACGCATGCGCGCCTCACACGACCCATGATATAAGACATATAATAAAAGTGCAAATAAAGAATCATTTGATCTCATAGGTTGTATATACACACGTGCGCGCGCACATACACCAGGGGCGTGTACAGGGGGGGGGATTCAGGGGGTCCGCGACCCCCCCCCTGCTCGCGCAGAAAACGCATCTGAGGGGGTCTATATTTCAAAAAAATTCTAGGGGGGGGGGGCGCAGACCCCTTCGCGTGCTCGCAAGTTTGGGTTACGGTTAGACCCCCCCTGGTCCAAATCCTAGTACACGCCCCTGTACACGCACACGCACATACACTCACTCACAACACCACACACACACACACACACAACACACACACACACACACACACACAGCACACACACACACACACACACGCACACACACACGCACACACGCGACACCGGCACACCGCGCGTGCGCGAGCACGTTATATATATTAATATATATATATATATATATACATATATATATACATACATACCCACTTTTAATGTAATTTGATATAATACATGACAATAAGATGCAATGCAATACAACACAACACAACGTACTCAATGCAATGCAATGCAATACAATACAATACAATACAATACAATACTAACAAATACAATACAATACAATACAATACAATACAATACAAGATACAATACAATACAATACAATACAATACAATACAATACAATACAATACAATACAATACAATACAATGCAATACAATGCAATACAATACAATACAATGCAATGCAATGTACTGCAATGCAATGTGCAATGTAATGTAATGTGATGCAATGTAATACAAGTACGTGCTGCCTCTCGCGGCTCGCACGAGGATGCTCATTCCATAAGCTACTTCGCTGTTAGACTTGCACCATTTCCTTTTCAAATCGACAGTAGCAGATGTATTTTCTGTGAAGCGATTGATAGGGAACCAGACTAGCACACTGGTGATTTGCTCCAGGCTCGCGTGAATCGTACATAAGTGACAGACGGCCAGGCATACCAGCAGTTGTTGTCTTGTTGCTGCTAGCTTAATATTAGCACGCCGTCACTCACTCACTCATTCACTCATTCACTAAGTTAGTTGATCGTCATGTCTTCCACGCTGGTCAGATCGTCTCGTCTGCTACAAAAATCCTCCCATCTTTGTGCAGAGATGGTTTCGGTATGTGGCCTTATTTTATAATATAGATATAGTTAGCTCCAAGAAACGGTATTGCTAGGATTAGAATACTTAGCATTAGTATTAGAATACTTAGCAATTTATATAGACAATCCGTCGCACAGCCTGGTCGGGCTAAGATATAGTATTCATTCAACGTCTAGAGTAAAACATATACAGTATAACTAAACAATTAACATTACTCATTAGGCTAACTTACCAGAATTGACAAGTTAGACGACGTAATGAGTTAGGGTAATCGTATTCATTTATTTTATTTATTTAAACAGTTTGCCAATCAGGCTACCAGCATCCGAAGACTTGTTTACAATGACGTCGATGGGGCGACCCACGATGGGCGATTGTGATGTTGCCAACTATATATATATGCCACTATCACATTACCTACTGTGCAGTTACGAACGGCGCGCAAATCCACTTTAGGCCACCAATTAGGTATCACGAAGTGATTCCGCAAGATTTCTGTGTGTCATCAACTGATGCACAGACTTTCCGTATATCAAGGAATGATGCAAAGCCCTAACCCAGTGGCTGGATCTACGGGGGGGGGGGGGGGGGAGGGGTTAAACCCCCCTTGGGCTGCCGCAGTGAAATGTGAGTGTAGGCCTACTTAGAAAAAAATAAAAAAAGAACCAGTGTCGGGTGTCGAAAATTTCCGGGGGTGGGTGCAGCTTTACGGGTTTCAATGGCCCCGGACCCCTAGTCATAAGGCCTTCCGCACGCTGGGTGTGTAGCCAATCACCTCAGGTAAACCAACCCCTTAGTTTAAACCTAGATCGCTCCCTGTAACCCTAACGACCTAAGTCATATAAGTTATCAACTAGTATCACGTAGGATAGGGTTAGGGTTTTTTGCATCATTCCTTAATATACGGAAAGTCTGTCATCAGTTGATGATACAGCAGTAAATCTGTGGCATCACTCGTGAATAACTAGGTGGCCTAAAAGTGGATGGCGGCCGTTACGAACTCCTTAGATATACTAATCGGTACTAGTTATGGGATGTTGTATGTGAATTACCAGTACAGGTGCGAAAGTAACTAGTCTCAAATACTCCATGATTTACTGCGGACCTCGCCTGAATTTGACATATGACTCCGTGTGGACTCCCTGAAAAATTCTGCTTGGCATAATACTAAAACAATTTCGTTTCACGAGCGACGGCCTCACGGAATTACCTGGTATTTTGTCAGCAAATGCCAAAGAAAATTTGGCAGATGTGCATGCGCATGAATCTCAAAATAACGGCACATCGCGTTGATTGTTGTTGTGTGCTTTAGTTTTGAAAGCTTTAGACTGCGGACTCCCTGATTTTGCTACGGCAGGGAGTCCATTGGACTCCCTCGTTCAAAAGTTAATTTCTCTCCCTGCAGTCGATGCCTACCGCGCAGAGCAGGGTTGCACGAACTATGAATGACCCAGCCAAGCAGATGTGGCAGGGGCGGATCCAGGATTTTTGAAAAGGGGTGTCCAGGAGAATACAGGGGACTTTTTTTTTCCCCCCCTACTTACTTTTTCTGGTGTTTTAAAAAGCTTGCCGAAGGCATCTTAGGGGGGGGGGTTTGTGCATTCTGAGAGCATCCTGAGCAGTATTTTGATGTCTTAGAATGTAAAATTTTATTAGATCCGGTTCGCCCGGCGGACGCATGCGGACTCCCTCTTTGCCCATTTTCTAGGTTTTTATATCCGAATTTAATCATATATATCAGTAAATCTTTATCAGAAAAACTAGCGACTAAACAAGATTTTTTTATGAAGGAACAATATAAGAGAAGTGTGTGTGTGTGTGTGTGTGTGTGTGTGTGTGGTGGTGTGTGTGTGGGTGTGTTGTTGTGTGTGTGTGGTGTGTGTTGTGTGTGTGTGTGTGCTTGGTGGTGTGTGTGTGTGTGTGTGTGTGTGGTGTGTGTGTGTGTGGTGTGTGTGTGCTGTGTGTGTGTGTGTGTGTGTGTGTGTGTGTGTGTGGTGTGTGTGTGTGTGTGTGTGTGTGTGTGTGTGTGTGTGTGTGTGTGGTGTGTGTGTGTGTGTTGTGTGGTGTGTTGTTGTGTGTGTGTGTGTGTGTGTGTGTGTGTGTGTGTGTGTGTGTGTGTTGTGTGTGTGTGTGTGTGTGTGTGTGTGGTGTGTGTGTGTGGTGTGTGTGTGTGTGTGTGTGTGGTGTGTGTGTGTGTTTCTGGTGTGGTGTGTGTGTGTGTGTTGTGTGTGTGGTGTGTGTGTGTGTGTGTGTGTGTGTGTTGTGTGTGTGTGTGTGTGTGTGTGGTGTGTGTGTGTGTGTGTGTGTGGGTGTGGTGGTTGTTGTGTGGGGCGTGTGTGTGTGTGTGTGGTGTGTGTGTGTGTGTGTGTGTGTGTGCTGTGTGGTGTGTGTGTGTGTGTGTGTGTGTGTGGTGTGTTGGTCTGTGATGTGTGTGTGTGTGTGTGTGTGTGTGTGTGTGTGTGTGTGTGTGTGTGTGTGTGTGTGTGTGTGTATGCTTTTTCCCCTTTTTTTGTGGTAAAAAAGGGGGGGTTCGGACCCCCTCGACCCCCCCGCTGGATCCGCCCCTGAGTGGTGTGTAGACAGTGTGCCAAAAAGCAGGGCTTCATTGAACAAGTATGATAGCGGGTATAGGTGTTAATTAAGTCATCAAATCCTATTTTGCTGATACGTACCTTGCTAAGTACAGTGTGCTTCTGGTGTTCAGTGTGCAAATGTGCAAATGTGGACAGCTCTTATATCCTTGGGCCGTGCTTCGTGCCCGACTGTGGCGTCTTACGGGGCGAGAAAGTCGACCACATAATTATGCTAACGTGGGGACCCGATGGCATTATTTTCAGTTAGAATATCTACACTGTTAGTACAATGTTTGTGTCGGCTCGCACAACTTTTAAATTACCCAACCAGCCAGGCAAAACCCGTATGGGTATGCATTTGGTGGGGGGCGTAAGATGGTTTTAGGCTAAAGAAACGTATTTATGCCATTCGACTTGAATGCCGCAAACGTGAAAAAACACGACTGGCGAACTGACTTGCAGAAATTACGTTGCTAGGTGACGTACTACTACAACAGTGTTAGTACGTGCACATGTGATAGCAGGGCTGAATAATAACAAATTTGCTATTATTCACTCCTGATGATAGGTAACCGGGGAATTCACAGTTGCGCTGAAAGGGAGCAACGAGTGGGGAAAATTCACAAACGTATGATCGGAAAAAACTTGGCGGAAGAACTTATCGGCTGTGATAGCAAGAGTTGGTATTTACCCAGGGCTGTTCTCACCGTGATCATGAGGTATCTACATTTATCTGAGTGCATGCATACTTGCACGTGCATCTGGGCCATCCTTAAAAAATTCTGTTTGCTGTCCCCCGACCCATGATTTTTTTAGTGGGTAAGTAGGTATTTTTTTGTGAGGCATAATAGTTATTTTAAGTCTGTTCTCATGTTTGCCACACATGCTTTGTGTTTCAGTCTTAACTATAAAAAATGTAAAAAAAATATAAAAGATATGGAACCCAAAATGTAAAAAAAAACTTTTGGGTCGCGGCTATTTTCGTTAATCGGTCGGAGGACAGCAAACATATAATTTTTTAAGGATGGCCCTGTGGGTGCATTGTGCATGTCAGGGGTAGAAATTAACTTTTGAACACGGGAGTCCAACGGACTCCTTACCCTCAAAAAGAGGGAGTCTGCAGCCAAATGAGGGAGTCCGCAGTTTGAAGTTCAAAATTAGAGATACTAACAATAACGCATACAGTGTGCTTATTTTGAAGATTCATGCGGTTGCACGTCTGCCCAATTTTCTTTGGACATTAGCTGAAAAAATCGGTAATTCCGTGAGGCCGTGCTCTGGAACGAACTAGTTAGTAT